CTGGATGGGGACATAGCCCTCCCACACATCTTCTTGAGCAATCTCATCACCTTCTCCCCTGAGCCCAATGCATAAGACGTGGAAACTGATGTGGCAACCTGGAGAATGATAATTCTCTGGCATTGACACAATGCCATTGTCACAGTCTTACTGCACAAGCCACATGGGCAGAGTGGCCCACCACAGGGCATGGATCAGCTGCTGTTTGGCATTCCTAAGAAAAAGGAACAGCCAAGGATCCCCGGCAGCCTGGACGCCCCATGGCCAGCCTGCTCCTCACTAGGAGCTTGAAGCGGCTCCCAGGCCAGCCAGGCACGGACCTGCAAAGGAGGCTGTTCTTTATGGCAAAGGATATAAAATGTATCTTGCAAGCTCTAAGAGGCAGGGAGGCGAACAGCAACAGGGCTTTTCAGTGGCCTCCCACAGCTGGGAAGGACAGTCTACACACAGAATCCAAATGATCTCAATACATTGGGTGGTAGCTGCACTCCACATGTTAGCACCAAATAAGGCTAAATAATTTTAAAACCCACATTAAAGGGATAGCCATTTAGTCCTGCAGTTAAGACCCACTTGGAATGCCTGCCATCCCATTACAGAGTGCCTGGGTTTGAGTCCTGCCCTTGCTCCTAATTCCTGCTTCGTGCTAATGCACGCCCTGGAAGGCAGTAGGTAATAGCACAAGCACTTGCATCCCTGCCACCCATGTGGGAGACTGAGATTGAGTTTCCGGCTCTTGGCTTTGTCCCGGCCCTGCCCTGCCCTGCCCTGCCCTGCCCTGCCCATTATGTGGTTTTGGAGAGTGAACCAGCAGATGAAAGATTTCTCTGTACCTCTGTTTCCCTGTGTCTCTACTTTTTGAATAAATTGAACACATGTTTTAAAATCTGCACTAACCACAGCAAAACACACAAACACAAACTGCAGAAATACAGATGAGAAATATGTGGTCAGCTAGAAGGATGTGTAAAAAAGAGTGAGGAGTTTCGATGGTCAGGGTATTAACCTGCATGGTGAGCGTGCTGAGAAAGTTAGTATGGATCTTGGCTGTGTTAACAGTATCCTGGTGATAGGAGGTGACAGTCCTTTTTCATCCCATGCTGATAAAAGTGGAGTTTGTGTTTAAATGGATTTGCTGCTGACACGTACAAAGTGCTTATTATGTATGAGGCGACGGACTGAATGTTTCACATGGTATCGCTGAATCCACATCCTGTTAGTGCCTCTCTCATGTAGAGGACTCTGGTGTGTCAGTCGCAGGTTTGCCTGACCAAGCTCTTAGCTGGGAAAAGGATTGGTGAAAGTGAACTGTTAAGAAACTGGGGAGTTGGCTGGCGCCGCGGCTCACTGGGCTAATCCTCCACCTGCAGTGCCGGCACCCGAGGCTCTAGTCCTAGTCGGGGTGCCGGATTCTGTCCCAGTTGCCCCTCTTCCAGACCAGCTCTCTGCTGTGGCCCAGGAAGGCAGTGGAGGATGGCCCAAGTGCTTGGGCCCTGCACCTTCATGGAAGACCAGAAAGAAGCACCTGGCTCCTGGCTTCGGATCAGCGCAGTGCTGGCTGTGGCAGCCATTTGGGGAGTGAACAAATGGAAGGAAGGCCTTTCTCTCTGTCTCTCTCTTTCTCTCACTGTCTAACTTTGCCTGTCTAAAAAAAGAAAAAGAAACTGGGGAGCTGAGGAGTCCAGGGGGCTGGGTCGGGAGGATGTAGGGAGCCTAACAAGTTGAAGAATTGCTGGACAAACCAAAACTTCAGCGTGGAAAGGAGAACACTTAAAGTCCTAGAAGTCATAGAGAAGAATGAGACCCCACAACAGGGCTCCAAGTTGGGACAGAACCAGCCAGTGAAAAGAGCAGCAGGGGCAGGCATAGGGCACAGAGGTTAAGTCGCCCCGTGGGACACCTGCGTCCCATATCGGAGTGCCTGGACTCAAGTCCCCACTTGGCTGCTGATTCTGGCTTTCTGCTGATGCCCTCTAGCAGGTTCAAGTATTTGGGTCCTTGACATCCATGGGCAAGACCCAGACTGAGTTCTAGACTTCTGGTTTTGGCCTGGGCCAGGCTCAACTGTTATGGGTATTTGGGAAAGGAACTAGCAGATGGAAGGTATCCCTCTATCTCAACTAAATAAGATAAATAAGTTTTTTTTTTTTTTTAAAGAGGAAACAGAAGTAAAGGTAAGGCCAATGAAAAGATGGATTTTCCATCCAAAATTAGTATAGGCCTCCCCAGACAGACCTGGTGTTCTTCTGAGGCACCAGGTACCCTCCTTGGCAAGGACTCCCAGAAGGAGAAAGTGGTGGCCTGATGGGAAGAGGTTCATGGACCCTCCGTGCAGAAGCAGGTGTGAAGGCCTGGTGGTTCTGCTGCTGCTCTCCCCCAGATCCACCACCATGCAAATATACCTGTGTGACAATGTCCTGTAGTTCACCACTTTAGTGAAGAGACCAGCTCAGGGCAGGTCTTAAACAGCTGGAAGTTAGGGATTAGACAGCACAGTGAGAGGAGGGAAAACGGAAAACAGAAACATCACAGCACTTTCTTCACAGACTTCAAGAAGCTAATGACATCTAAGATTTGTATCTAAATGAAGGTCTTGTATCTTGTATCTCCTTTGTTGCCTTGATAAAAAATATAAAAACCGTGTTTTATGACGTTGTAAAATAGTTCCTTAAAAGCAAAGTTAAATAAGGGACCTCTATCAGCGCCTTTTAAAGTGATTTAGCAGAGCCTTCATCTAATAATAAATTAGGATATCATAGAATATGACACAGGTTCTACAACTGGCCTTTGGTTCTCTTTACCTTACTAGTCCCTAAGCAAACAAAAACCTTATTTCTTGCAGCCCAATTGCCACTTCTCAGCAAACCTTCCTGAAAGAACAGATATTGATAAGAGTAGCAATTATCCATTTTATTGCCCATTGTAAATTTTTTTAAAAGACTTATTTATTTATTTGAAAGGCAGAGTTACAGTGAGGCAGAGGCAAAGAGAGCAAGACAGATCTTCCATCCGCTGGTTCACTCCCAAAACAGCTGCAATGGCCAGAGCCAGGTGGATCTGAAGTTGGGACCCGAGAGCTTCCTCCGGGTCCCCCACGTGGGTGGAGAGGCCCAAGCACTTGGGCCATCTTTTACTGCTCTCCCAGGCCATAGCAGAGAGCTGGATCGGAAGTGGAGCAGCTGGGTCTCAAACCAGCGCCCATATGGGATGCTGACACTGCAGGCGGCGGCTTTAGCCACTATGCCACAGTGCCAGCTCTCTCATTGTAAGTTAATAAAAGTAAATTATCAGTTAAAACCTAGAGTTACGCATGGTCAGTTTGACCAGTCTTCACTTTTTGGTAGTGCTTTTTTTTTTCCAATTTTTTTTTTTTTTTAATTTTTGACAGGCAGAGTGGACAGCAAGAGAGAGACAGAGAGAAAGGTCTTCCTTCCATTGGTTCACCCTCCAAATGGCCACTACAGCCAGCACACTGCACTGATCCGAAGCCAGGAGCCAGGTGCCTCTCCTGGTCTCCCATGCGGGTGCAGGGCCCAAGCACTTGGGCCATCCTCCACTGCACTCCCGGGCCACGGCAGAGAGTTGGACTGGAAGAGGGGCAGCTGGGACAGAATCCGGTGTCTGGACCGAGACTAGAACCTGGGGAGCTGGCACCGCAGGCAAAGGATTAGTCTACTGAGCCGTGGCACTGGCCTGGTTTTGGTTTTTTCTTCACTCCCCCAGAAGTCTGGTAGCAGAGAGGTTGTGTGTCTATCAGTTTAAACTGATAACTGCGCAATCTCGAGTAAGTTTATTTTGAAGCACACTTCGTTGTCAAGTTTTAGGCAATCCCAAGTTTGCTCTCAAAGCAAAAATCACCCAGCAATTGAACTTGAGAAGAGTACGAGTGTCTGGTTCATAGCCAGTTGTTTCAGAAAGTTTCTAATAAGGTGGTGGGTGATTGGCACTGCACTACTGCTGGGGACACATGCATCCTGTAGCAGAGTCTGGGTCTGAATCCTGGCTCTGCTTCCAGCTTCCTGGCTGGGGCTGTGAGAGGAAGCGGGGATGGGGCCTCAGTCACTCAGAGGCAGCCTAAGAAGGATCCTCTCTCGGCCCCCCGTCCCTTTCCAGAAGAGCCGCATCCAGATCATCAGTGAGTCGCACCATTCTTCACCTACAACACACCCAGAACCATTCAGATTTTACTTATTCATTATTATTATTTTATTTATCTGAAAAGCAGAGGCACAGAGAGGAGGAGAGGCAGCCAGGGGGAGAGAGAGAGAGAGAGAGAGAGAAAGAGAGAGAGATACCTTCTATCTGTTGGTTCACTCCCCAAATGGCCTCAATGGCCAGGGCTGGACCAGGCCGAAACTGGGAGTCAGCAGCTTCTTCCGGGTCTCCCATGTGGGTGCAGGGGCCCAAGCACTTGGGCCATCTTCTGCTCCTTTCTCGGGAACATTGCCAGGGAGCTGGATGGGAAGAGGAGCAGCCTAGACTTGAACCTGCACTCAGATGGGATGCTGGCACTGCAGGCGGTGGCTTTACCTGCTATGCCGCAGTGCCAGCCCCCAGACAGTTCAGCACCTTCTCGGCTCTAGCCTGGGCCAGCTCTTCCACGGAGGCTGACCTGTGCAGCCCCTTCCTAACTGGCTTCCTTGCTCGCCTTCTCAGGGCCCACCCTCCACACAGCAGCAAGAGCGATCTGCGTAAATGACAATGGGGTCCAGTTTCTTCCGGGATATAAGCCACATTCCATCCCCTCAGCTCCTGTCTCTTTTCCTGTTCATCTCACTCCAGTCTCACAGACTTAGTCTCCTCCAAGTGCTTGGTTGTGCTCCACTTTTCTGTTGCTAGCCATCCAGTTTCCCTTTGCCTATGGGAGGCCCAAGGGCCGCCTCTTGCAACCATGGCTTCTCAGTTCCCTGTTTACTTCCTTGGGACCATGGAAATCAGCTTGTCAACAACTGTGTGTGCTGGGGTTGGCTCATTTTCCCGTCTGTCTCCCCCACTTCCAGGTAAGCAGGACCTGGGTGGCCTGAAAGCTGTGCACTTGCAATATCTCTGCTGCAGGAGTCGGGAGACTGGGGAGCAGTTTGGGGAGAGAAGCGGACCAGCTAGGAGGATGCGGTGGAGGTAAGGGGAGCTGGGAATGGTGCTGAGGGGACCAGGGATCTGAGAGAGATTCGGGACGGTGTCCAAGCATATTTGGTGATTTTGTGTGGAACAGGAGAAAAGGGAATTCTGATGAAACCCAGGTTTCTTGCTTGGGCAACTGGAGGGATGGATTTTGTGGCCTTTGTTGTTACAAGGACAAAGGACAATGAAGACCACACTTGAAGAGCAGAACAAAGCCAACTTGGCATACACAGCCCTCCTCAGCACCCATGGGGGAATCAGCTCCGGGACCCCACAGATAACCAAAATCGGCAGGTGCTCAAGTCCCTTCTGTAAAATAGTCTATGTAGTGTTTGCATGTAACCCCCTCACATCCTCCATATACTTTAAATCATCTCTAGATTTCTTACAATACCTAACACAATTTAAATACTTTGCCAATAGTTGAAGCTGTATAACAAGGGAAAAGGCCGGCACCGCGGCTCACTTGGCTAATCCTCTGCCTGCAGCGCCAGCACCCTGGGTTCTAGTCCCTGTGGGGCGCCAGTTCTGTCCCTGTTGCGCCTCTTCCAGTCCAGCTCTCTGCTGTGGCCCGGGAAGGCAGTGGAGGATGGCCCAAGTGCTTGGGCTCTGCTCCTGTGTGGGCGACCAGGAGGAAGCACCTGGCTCCTGGCTTCAGATCAGCGCAGCGCCGGCCGTAGTGGCCATTTCGGGGGTGAACCAATGGAAAAGGAAGACCTCTCTCTCTCTCTCTCTCTCTCTCTCTCTCTCTAACTCTAACTCTGCAAATAAATAAATAAATGAAATAACGAGGGAAAAAGTCTGAACATGTTCAGGATGGATGCAGTTTGTTTTCCCCCTGAATATTTTTGATCCACAGCTGTTTGAGACCGTGGATGTGGAACCTGCAGGAATGGAGGGCTCACCAAATGGAATTTAAGGCTCCTGGGAGTGGAGGTGGCCAGGTGAGAGTCAGAAGCCCCCAAGGCACATCTGGTTCGGAGGCCTAGATACTTTTTCTGCACATATCTGAAAACAAATGTAAACTAATAGTATTTTAAAAATACTTTAGTATTGTCAAAGGATAGTCAAATGTGTCATCATTCCACATGCCAAGAATATTCATATTTCTCTTATCTATGGTAACTGGGGAGGCAGGAGGGCACAGCGGTTAAGAGTCATGCTCTGGGCCGGCGCCGCGGCTCAATAGGCTAATCTTCCACCTGTGGCGCCGGCACACCGGGTTCTAGTCCCGGTGGGGGTGCCAGATTCTGTCCCGGTTGCCCCTCCTCCAGGCCAGCCCTCTGCTGTGGCCAGGGAGTGCAGTGGAGGATGGCCCAGGTGCTTGGGCCCTGCACCCCATGGGAGACCAGGAGAAGCACCTGGCTCCTGGCTTCAGATCAGCGCGGTGCACCGGCCTCTGCGCACCAGCCGTGGCGGCCATTGGAGGGTGAACCAACAGCAAAAAGGAAGACCTTTCTCTCTGTCTCTCTCTCTCACTGTCCACTCTGCCTGTCAAAAAAAAAAAAAAAAAAAAAAAGAGTCATGCTCTGTTGTTGAAGTCACCAACAGTCCCAGCTGTGCCTTCAACAAGAAGCTCTGCCTTTTGGAAAATCCATCACTTTATCTAAAAGCAGGCTTCATCTGCCTCTCATGGCGTGGTACGGAGGTGATGCCTTGGTATATACAAGGCACTTAACACATGCAAACTGCTCCATGATGTTTATTGTCATTGTCACATCACCCTTCACTTGTTTTAAGATATTTATATTTCATTTGAAAGGCAGAGATACAGAAATCTTCCACCCACTGGTTCACTCCCCATATGACCACAATGACTCAGGCTGTGCCAGGAGGAAGCCAGGATCCCAGAGCTTTCTTCAGGGTCTCCCACATGAGTGCAGGGGCCCAAGGACTTGAGCAGTCTTCCACTGCTTTCCCAGGCACGTTAGCAGGGAGCTGGATTGGAAGTAGCTGGGACTTGACCCGGTGCTATCATCACAGGTGGTGGTTTTACCCACTTTGCCACAATGCCAGCCCCAAAGAGAAAGCTCTTCCATCCACTGGTTTGCTCTCCACGTGTCTGCAACAGCCAGGACTGTTCCAAGATGAAACCATGAGCCAGGATCTCCACCCTGGACCCCACAAGGATGTTAGAGGCCCAGCTGTTTGGGCTATCTTCTGTTGTCTCCCCAGGCAACATTAGCAGGAAGTTAGATCGTGGAAGCAGAGTAGCTAGTACTTGAACTGGGACTCCAACATGGGATACCAGCATCACAAATGGTGACTTAACCCGCTGTGCCACAATGCTGGCTCCTGATATCTTTTTGGATAAAACTTTATTTGAGATTAAAGCCATAAGCATTTGAATTGAATTGACATAGACTTCCACAAAAGTCTACAGATCACTCCCACATGAAAACAAAACAAAACAAAACAAAACTGCTAGCTTTAAATGTGCAAACTTCAGTAACAGCTGAGACAATCAAGGGGCGGCGTGTAGTGTTTGAAAGATTAGACACCTGTTGGACTATGACAGCGTTCGAAGGCTTCTTTTGAGCAGATCTCTGGTACTAAATGCCTGGGGGAAGGACATGCAATAGTGGCTCCTGCAGCCTATCCAAACTGAGTATTCTGCAGCAAAGCAAAAAACTGTGCAAACATTGGTGGAAGTAGCAGATGCTCCTTGTTCAGAGAAGAGCTTCGTGCTACTGGAACATTCTGTAAGTTGCGACTACCTACTGCATGTTCTTCTTGGTTCCTCCCACTCATATGATGTTATATATTACACACCCCATGTCCCGTTATTCCCAGAAATTCTGTTTTAGATGTTTGGTTTCTGGATACAAACTATACTTCTATACTTTGCTTTTTCTGGGCATTTTTTTTTTTTTACTTTTTAGGCTGTTTATTAATGAATGAGCTTTTTTTTTTTAGAAACTTTAATAAATATAAATTTTGAAAATACAACTTTTGGATTATAGTGGTTTTTCCCCTCATAACCACCCTCCCACCTGCAAACCATCTCCTACTCCCTCTCCCATCCCATTCTTCATTAAGATTCATTTTAAATTATCTTTAGGCATAACATTTTTTTAAAAGAGCATGAAGGAGTATATATTTTATTAAAAAGATATAAAATAAATTTGACATTAAGTTTGCCCCTAATACTTTTCTGATCATCACAGAAATTTGAAGGGTCATGCACATGACTGCCAGGAAACAGTTACCAAATTCCTCTCCATTTGTTCAGGCAAGAGGAGTGGTTATCCAGTAAGTGGCAGCAAATAGCTTACAGATCCATCTCTTCTGATTTCCTGACTTTTGGATTCTTATGAATGAAGCCGCATCATTGAGTGAGCAACTGGAAATGAATATGAACGTAGTACGTGCTTGTTATTAATCTCTTATGAAACGAGTCTGAGTCCGTCACTTCCTCTTCTCTAAGAAATGTCTCAAAGCAACGGAGCCGACTGGCACAGAGCATTTGAAAGAGAGCAGCAGGCGTTCTCAGCATGACTTGATTCTTCTTGGGACATAGAGAGCAGATTCTGATGATTTACCATGATCATTTTAAATTTTATAACACTACATTGCCTGCATTTATGAATGGCAGATGACGTGTTTAAAAGGAAATGGATAGTGAAAAATGTGAAATAATTCTCATGTTCACTGTATGTCCAAGATTTTCTGGGACTGCCCCAATTTCAAAGATGCTACCTAGTTATTTCTTTAATTACACTCTTTTTAAAAAATTATTTTTCTTGAAAGGCAGACAGATATCTTTCATTGGCTGTTTCACTCTCCAAATAGCTGCAACTGCCAGGGCTGGGCCAGGCCCCAATCAGAAGCATGGAATTCTAACCGGGTCTCCCATATGGGTGGCAGGGGCCCAAGTACTTGTGCCACTTTCTGCTGCTTCCCCAGGTACATTAGCAGGGAGCTGGATTGGAAATGGAGCAACCAGGACTCCAGCCAGCACTCATATGGGATGTCAGTGGCTTAACCTGCTTTGCCACAATACTGGCCTTAGTTATACTCTTTCTTATCAAACCACGCATTCAAGTTTGTAAAATGTGTTTGAGAGATGATAGCTAGCTAGATAGATAGATAGATCAATCAGATGGACAGAGGGGGGCGGGAGAGAGGGAGGGAAAAGGAGAGAGAGAGAGAGAAAGAAAACGAGAATTTTCATTTGCTGGTTTAACTCCCTAGTGGCTCATGATGGCCAGTGCTGGGTTGGGGCCCAAGCCTAGTGCTGGGAACTCAATTCAGGTCTCCCATGTGGGTGGCAGGAGGCAGTCACTTGAGCCATCAAGGCTACCTCCCAAGGTCTGCATTAGTGGGAAGGTGGAGTCTGGAGCCAGGTACAGGATTTGAACCCAGGCACTCCAATGTAGGACATGAGAGTCTTAACCATTAGGCTAACAGCCCACTCTAGAAAACATATTTTTAAAATGTCCATACTTGTTTTCAGGCAAGTGTTAATATTTTTCAGAATCAAATTATTTTTTAAACAGTACATTAATATTTCCCTTATTTCAGAAAAAGTAAATTCCTTTCTTACAAATAATTGCTTTAGCAATTCTCATGTTATTATAATATATTAATACACTGGGTTTTTGATCGTCAATTACAGAAGCACAACATGCAGGCACAATGAGATTTTTCAAGAACATCTAAGAAGCAGCATATTTGTTAAACTCCATTCCTGTTGCTATTTTCTGGAGATTGAAAGAAACTACTAAAGTTTTAAAATGCACGTGATACAAACTTGCTAGTCAGGAACAACATGGTGTTTAGTCTGCTCCGGATGCTTATGGCCATGAAATGACCTGGGAAAAATGGCCATGGAATATAACATATTAAAAATATTATGACATGGGGCTGGTGCTGTGGTGGACGCCTGCAGTGCTGGCATCCCATACGGGTGCTGGTTCGAGTCCTGATTGCTCCACTTCTGATCCAGCTGTCTGCTGTGGCCTGGGAAAGCAGCAGAAAATGGCCCAAGCCCTTGGGTCCCTGCACCCTTGTGGGAGACCCAGAAAAGCTCCTGGCTTTGGATCGGTGCAGCTGCAGCTGTGGCAGCCAACTGGGGAGTGAACCAGTGGATGGAAGACCTCTCTCTGCTTCTCGTTTTCTCTCTGTGTAACCCTGACTTTCACGTAAATAAATAAGTTTTAAAAATTATGACAATTTTAATGGGAAATTTCTACATTGCTGAAAATTAAGTTAAAAGCAAACCTTCAGAATGCCTCTAATCTATCATCTACCTGTTTATCATCAATTATCTAGACCTGCAGTGATTTCCTAACTGCCATCATCCAGGCCAGATAAAATGATGCAAAGAGATGGGGAGATGGGGGTTGGGGGATAGTGCTCAAGAATATTGATGTAAAATTGACAGGTCTAGATCACTGATTAGATGAGGAGATGGCCAGCAACAGGAATCAGAGGTAACCTTCATAATTTTGGCTCCAATTGTGACCTCAGTAAAGAGACATTCTGGAGGAAGAATCGATTTCAGAGAGAAGATGGCAGCTGCAGTGACAGAGATGGTGAGTTAAAGCATCTGTGGTACATCCAAGGGGACAGTCGGCCATCAGAAGAACTCGGATGCTCCGGGCTGAAGACGTGGATTTAGAAGCCAAGGGCAATACGTGCTAATTCAGAAGTGAACAAGGAGGATTATTAGTGTTGAGTAGGGTGAGAAGGTCAAAGTCATTTTTTGCTATCTGGTTTTATTTTTGATAATAAGTGCATACAGTTCATCTAAAAATTTAAAGTCACCGGGGCCAGTGTTGTGGCCCAGTATCTTAAGCCACTGTCTGTAACACCAGCATCTCATATGAGCAAGGGTTTGAGTCCCAGGTGCTCCCCTTCTGATCCAGCTGCCCTCTAATGCACCTGGGAAGGCAGGAGAAAATGACCCAAGTACTTGGGTCCCTGCCTGGGAGACCCAGATGGAGTTCTTGGTGCCCGGCTTCATCCTGGCCCAGCCCTGGCCATTGCAGCCACTTGTCAAGTGAACCAGTGAACAGAAGATCTCTGATGCTCTGCCTTCCAAATAAATAAAACAAATCTTAAAAAAATTCCAAGCCACCTTAAAAGAAATTTAAGACATTATTCCCAGAGCACTCAAACAGAGGAATATTTGGTGTTCTGATAACAGAGGCCGCAGGTGAGATTTTGAGCGAGTGGAAAGGTGACGAGGGGTTAAAGAATCTTCATACTTAATGATCTCAATTTTTGTCCCCAGGGAAATTGCTGGGGACAGCTGCTGAGCCACAGAGGTCAGAGAGCGAGGATGGTGACAGAAGTGTGGAATGGCCACGTGAAGGACAATGGACAGGAAGTTTTCTAAAGTTAAGTTTAAAGGGATGGAAATGAGCCCTACATCCCACTTTAAAACAATGCTACACACAAGAGTATTCTTTTTTAAAAAGATATAAACATGCTTCTTTTTAAAACTATTTTTTTCCCTTCCTTCCTCCCTTCATCCCTCCCTCCCTCCCTCTCTCTCTTCCTTCCTTCCTTCTTTCCTTCTTTCCTTCTTTCCTTGTTGCTAGGAAGAGAGAGTGAGAACTTCCATCCACTGGTTCGTTCTCCAAATACACGCAGCAGCCAGGGCTGTGCCAGGCTAAAACCAAGAGTCTAGAACTCCATCTGTGTTTCCCACATGGGTGGCAGGGACCCAAACATTGAGCCTTTTGCTGCTCCTCTGAGTGCACATTAGCTAGAAGCTTGAGTTGTAAGCAGAGTTGAGACTTGAACCCAGTCACTCTGATATAGGATACAGGCATCCCAGGGAGGGCTTTATTTTATTTACTTATTTGAAAGGCAGAGTTAAAGGGAGAAGGAGAGTTGGGGAGGTGGGGAGGCAGGAGTCAGGAGCTTCTTCTGGGTCTCCCGCATGGGTGCAGAGGCCCAAACACTTGGACAATTTTCCACTCCTTTCCTAGGAGCATTAGTGGGGAGCAGGATCCAAAGTGGAACAGCCAGGACTGGAACCTGTACTCATATGGCATGCTGGCCTCATAGGCACTGGCTTAACCCACTTTGCCACAACATTGGCCTCCCAAATTGCATGCTGTGCCAAACTATGTGTCTGAGGAATGTTTTTTTTTTTTTTAAGATTAATTTATTTACCTGCAAATCAGAGTTACAGACAGAGAGCGAGACAGAAAGGTCTTCCATCTGCTGGTTCACTCCCCAAATGGCCGCAGTAGTCAGAGCTGAGCTGATCCGAAACCAGGAGCCAAGAGCTTTTTCTGGGTCTCCCACAGGGGTGCAGGGGCCCAAGGACTTGGGCCATCTTCTACTGCTTTCCCAGACCATCACCAAGGAGATGGATCAGTAGTGGAATAGCCAGGACTAGAACCGGTGCCCATATGGGATGTTGGTACCATAGGCTGATGCTTAATCTACTATGCCCCAGCACCGTGCCCCCCTCCCCCAGAAGTGTCCTTAAGTAGTCAATGGGATAGTGCATTTGAAATCAGGGTTGCACGTGATTATTTTGGACAATAGCATACTCATATATGAATTTAGATAATAACAGGTTTTAAATACCCAGCATAATGTGTGTACCTTATTAAAATCTCAGGCATAGTGTTATTTACAAAAGCAGCAGGCAATGCATCCCACGAGGCAGCATTTGTTTTTGTTTGTTTTTAAAGATTTTATTTATTTATTTGACAGATAGAATTACAGACAGTGAGAGAGAGAGACAGAGACAAAGGTCTTCCTTCCGTTGGTTCACTCCCCAAATGGCTGGAGCTGCACCGACCCAAAGCCAGGAGCCAGGTGCTTCTTCCTGGTCTCCCATGCAGGTGCAGGGGCCCAAGGATTTGACCATCTTCTACTGCTTTCCCAGGCCATAGCAGAGAGCTGGATTGGAAGAAGGGCTATCAGGATTAGAACCAGCACCCATATGGGATGCTGGCGCCACAGGTGGAGGATTAACCTAGTGTGCACAGTGCCGGCCCCAAGACAGCATTTGTTATATCACCAAATAGGATGCCAGTATCACTGGTCTGTGAGTAGACAAGGATGATGTAAACTCAAGAGTCAAGATGTACTTGGAGCCCTAAAAGATCCACCAGTGCACAAATTCAGCAAGGCTAGACCCCTCCAGGGGGTCATCACAATAAAAGTGTACGGATATGTATACAGGGCCAGCACTGTGGCATAGCAGGTAGTCGTTGCCTGTAGTGCTGGCATCCCCTATGGGTGTTGGTTCAAGTTCCGGCTGCTCCATTTCCAATCCAGCTCCCTGTTAATGGCCTGGGAAAGCAATGGAAGATGGCCCAAGTGTTTGGGCCCCTACACCTACGTGGGAGAATCAAAAGATCCAGGCTCCTGCTCCTGGCTTCAGATCCATTCAGCTCTGGCCATTGTGGCCATCTGGGGAGTGAACCAGGGCATGGAAGACCTTTCTGTCTGTCTGTCTGTCTCTCTCTCTCTTTCTGACTATGCCGCTCTGTAACTCTGATTTTCAAATAAATAAATCTTTTTTTAAAAAGGACCTGTATACACCCAAAATTAATTTTTAGATCTGAGGAAAAGAAAATAGACATGGCTGCAGGTGTCGACAAGGCAAGAATTTGCTGTGTCTTTTGGGAGGACATCATCCACCGAGCTAATGGCTCCTCCAATAATTCATATTATTCCTGCAAGAGACTGCGGATCCCTGAGAGTGTGGGTGGTGACGTCTACCCTCGAGACGTTGGTTCACTAGTGAGAGGATTTATTGGATTTTCAAATGCTTTCCTTTCTGTGATTTTTCTGACCCAGAAATATGCTTTTTATTTCAGCAGCTCTCTCAAAACAGCTGAATAAATGACAGGTCCCAAACAATCACCGTTAACTATAAATCAAAATGTTATGTTTGCTCAGTTATGCCATGGTTCCTCAGTTTGTTCTCTGTCTATCACCAGTGAAGTAGAATCCACCACTAGAATGATGATTAAAGGCATTTTACCAAAAATATTTACTCTATTCTGCGGCAAACACTTGTCATCTCTAACTTAAGTTGAACAGCCCTTGTTTAACCCAACGTTACTCTGCCGCTACATGAAATAGAGGCATCTGGATTTTATTTTCTTCTTCTCTTTCTAATTATAGCTTAATTTATCAACCACACAGTTTAAGATGGTTATTCCTAGTAGGTTTCTCCATGACAAGACATACTAGAATTATTCATTTCAAAAATTTTGTTGTTTTTATTCTTTTGAAGGGTAAATATCAGTGTAATTTTTCCATGTGTATTTAACTGTTCATGGAAAAGTGCACTACCTTTTATTTATTTACTTTTTACAGAGAAACGAGAGAGAAAGAGGGCGGGGAGGGAGAGAGAGAGTTTTCCATCTGCTGGTTCACTCTCCAAATGCCCACAACAGCCAGGGCTGGGTTGAGACCAAAACCAGGAGCCCAGAACTCAGTGCAAATCTCTTGTGTGGGTGGCAGGAACCTAGTCAGCTGAGCCATCACCTGCTGCCTCCCAGGGTCTGCACTGCCAGGGAGCTAGAGTCAGGATCTGGAGCCAGGAACTGAACCCAGTGTGGCACACAGGCATCACAACCACTGAGCTAAAGGGCCACTCCTGGGCCGGCGCCGCGGCTCACTAGGCTAATCCTCCGCCTAGCGGCGCCGGCACACCGGGTTCTAGTCCCAGTCGGGGCGCCGGATTCTGTCCCGGTTGCCCCTCTTCCAGGCCAGCTCTCTGCTGTGGCCAGGGAGTGCAGTGGAGGATGGCCCAGGTGCTTGGGCCCTGCACCCCATGGGAGACCAGGAGAAGCACCTGGCTCCTGGCTCCTGCCATCGGATCAGCGCGGTGCGCCGGCCGCAGCACGCCGGCCGCGGCGGCCATTGGAGGGTGAACCAACGGCAAAGGAAGACCTTTCTCTCTGTCTCTCTCTCTCACTGTCCACTCTGCCTGTCAAAAAAAAAAAAAAAAAAATTAAAAAAAATTAAAGGGCCACTCCTTCATTATCTTTTAATTCTCTCCTTCCATGGACCTTTGAAGTACTCTCATAGCAGTTCCTGGTTTGCCAAAATTATGTCTCATCCCCAACGTTCTTAGACTTTCCTAAAAAAATCCCACATTCTCAGCCACACACGGTCTTCTACATGGCAGACTGCTGGTCATGAGCTTGGGAACTGGGAGAGCCCAGTGGTTGTCAACTTTGCATCACACAAGACTTCCCTTAGGTGCCTGTCTCAAAAGCATCACAAATAAACATGTAAAGACACATATACATCCAAAATTAATTTTTAGATAAGAGGAAGAGATATAGACATGGCCTCAGGAGTTGACATGGCAAGAATTTACCATGTTTTTTTGGAGGACATCATCTACCCAGCTAGGGAGAATCTAAGAGATTCTGATTGCATAGTTCTAGGATAGGACCTAGAAATGTACATTTTCTGAAAGCTTCCCTAAATAATTCTGAGCCCATAGAGCACACACTAAACAACGCTAAGTTGCTCTATGCCTTTCCATCTGTAGGCAAGAATGCTGAAGGTAGAAGGTGTGACTTGCCCATGGTTATCGGTGATCTTACTGGTTATCATAAATTGTGTTTCAAAAACAATTCTTGACATCTTTCTACTAACATTCGGAAAAAAACAGAGTAGAAAACATTGTTGTCTTCTTAGAAAACACTGATATCCTTGCCCAAGGAGGAAGGGAAGGGGGGTGGGCTGGAAATTTGTGCAAGAATGCAAACAACCCATTTCTCCACCAAAAAATATGAGTCAAGTGTTGGCATCATTAGAAAGCAATAGGAGCAGATGTTTGGCCTAGTGGTTAACACACCAGCTGGGATGTCCCCAACCCCATTGGAGTACCCGGCTTCGTTCTTGGCTCTGGCTCCTAACTCCAGTTTCCTGCTAATGTGGACCCCAGAGGGCAGCAATGATGGCTCAAGTAATTGGGTTCCTGCCACCAATGTGGGAGGCCCAGATTGAGTTCCCGGCTCCCTGCTTCAGCCCTGCCACTGTTGTGGGTATTGGGGGAGCAGTGAAATCTCTCTCTCTCTCTTTTCTGTACCTTTCTGCCTCTCAAATTTAAAGATCAAAAATAGAGGCCGGCGCCGTGGCTCACTTGGCTAGCCCTCCGCCTGGGGCGCCGGCATCCCATATGGGTGCTGGTTCTAGCCCTGGTTGCTCCTCTTCCAGTCCAGCTCTCTGCTGTGGCCTGGGAAGGCAGTGGAGGATGGCCCAAGTGCTTGGGCCCTGCACCCACATGGGAGACCAGGAGAAGCACCCGGCTCCTGGCTTCAGATCAGCGCAGCTCCAGCCGTAGTGGCCATTTGGGGAGTGAACCAATGGAAGGAAGACCTTTCTGTCTCTCACTGTCTATAACTCTACTTGTCAAATAAATAATAAAAAAAATCAAAAATAAAAATAAAAAACCAAAAGCAATAGCCATAAAAGTTATATAAAAATTTCGTGAAAATTTTCGCTGAAAATATAAGTTTAGGGGCAAGCATTTGGTTCGGCAGTTGGAATGCCACTTGAGATACCTGCATCCCATATCAGAGTGCCTGGGTTCTAGTCTTAGCTCTAGGTCTGATCCAGCTTCCTTCCAGTGTGTACCCCAGAGAAACAAATGACAGCTCAACTGGTTGGGGTCCCTACCATCCATGTGGGAGATTTGGATGGGGTGCCAGGCTCCTGGTTTCAGCCTGGCCTAACCCTGGCTATTGCAGGCTTTTGGAAAGTGAATCAGCAGATGGAAGAGCTCCCTTTCTCTCATTCTTTTTCTCTGTTGTTCTTTTAAATAAGGAAATAAATAAAACTTTAAAAATAAATACAATGAAAGCACAAAATTGCTCAATGAATAAATATTATAAAATTTGCCACAGAATCTTGTATAACATTGTTTTGCTACAAAAAAATTGAAATCCATGCAGAGTTTTTTCATAAAATGCATTTTTCTGCTAACTTTTGAAGACCCCTTGTATGGTGTTTTCACGTGGTCCTCTAACAAGATCGGTGCACAGAAAGTGGGAACTGAGTAACTAAATGATTGCATGGAGAGTAAATGAACGTGGGAACAATGAATCTGCCCTCAGGCAGGGGACAGAGGGCCCAGACCATGGTCTGACTGCCCCAGGGGGCTCAAGAAGTCCCAGGAGCCTGTGCTGGCTGAGGCTGGCTGGCAGGTAGCGGGCATGAGGATGCGCGTACTGAGAAGGGAATCCTTCCGCGCTGAGTGCAGTCCTGTTCTGGCCCGTGCTTGCTCCTTGTGAGCAGGTGAGAAGTACTTGCCGGTCTCAGTAGTGTGGGTGTGCTATCAGGTGACAATTTGATTGCTCAGGAAAGCGCTTCTCTTCCTCTCCTTTCTCCCTTGCCCCCATTTGAAGCCGAGAAGGTGTCAGCGTGGGAGGTTTCACCCTGCCCTGGGCTGGGTGGCTTTTGCTGATGAAGAGGGTCCTTCCGGGTGGCTTGGCTCCTTGATCTAGCACGTTGTGCATGTGCAGTTTCGCTTCTGGTCGAAACGTAAAAGCAACTGTACTCTGTCAGCCCTTCATGCCGCGAGGTGACAGGAAGCTGGGTTTTATTTGTTTTCCTCTTTGAAGTGATTCAGCTGAGTGAGCAGACCTAAGAGTTTCATTTTAACCAAAAGCTTTTGCTTAACCTCTTGGACAGTTACTTCACTGAGGACCTGTGGCCTGCTGGCCTTGGCTTCTGGAAAATCGTCAGGGTTGCAAAAGATGGAGAGGGAAGAAGCACACCAGTGACTCCAGAAATCCAGTGTGGTCCCATATTTATAAAACACAGCAGGCATACCCAAAACATGCCCCTTTAAGCACATGGGGCTCAGGGCCCCCCTCCTAGCTTCAATCCTAATTTAGATTCTGTACACCTGCAAACACAAAGCGCCTCTTGGAGTCTATGAAAACGGCTGCAGGTGACACCATGGCCCTCCATGGCCTATGAGAACGAAGCAGAGGACACTGATAGGGCAGGGTGGAGACAGCTGCCCCCAAATGGAAAGCACAGGACACAGCTGACCACAAATCTGGTTTCTGTGTTCACACTTTAACTGTTGACTCCTTTGATTTTTCAGACTGCACTTAAAGATTCATGAGAAGTGCATTTCTGAAGCCGAGGTGCTTACATTCTGAAGTCTAGGTAGAATCGGATCCATTTCACAAATCGGTGAAATCTGGGTGTCTTGCACACTTTCCATATCAGCCCACTGAACGCATTTATGAAAATAATTGTGATTTAGGGTTTGTAATCTTTAATTTCCTGTAAGTGAAACCATAAGAAATAGAAAGCATTTCTTGGGTCACAGGGGTAGAGAGAAGAAAAGCACAAGTTCTCATGTGTGTGCTATGCTAACTTTAACCGTAAAGGGACGATGATGATGCTGACATTTAAAAAAGAAGAAATGAACTAGGAACGGTAACTTCTTGTGTTAAGGACGCCAGCAACTTTCCTAAATGCATACCTGAGGGTGCCATCCGACTCGTTGCCTATCAAAAGCTCCCTGTGGCTTTCGGAGCCGAGCCTGCCCTCATTAGCAGGGTATAACAGGTCCTTTGCAGGAGCCACCTTTGCACCCTCATCTGACTGCTCTTATTTCATTGCACTTATTTAATTGAGCTGATAGACATATGAATGCACAAGTATTAGGGTTATGATTCAGCGAGTTTTGGACAATGTCTATGCCTGTGTGGTTGCCTCCCAAAGGAGATGCAGACCATTGCATCACTCCAGAAATTTCCCTTGGCTCCCTTCTAGGTGCTGAACATGCCACACACTCTAACTTCCATCTCCAGAGTCTGAGAGTTCCAGTTGTTCCACAGCCTCACCCACATGGTGGTGTCAGGTTTTAAAAATTGTAGTTTAGGCTGGTGCCGCAGCTCAATAGGCTAATCCTCCGCCTTGTGGTGCCGGGTTCTAATCCCGGTCGGGGCACCGGATCCTGTCCCAGTTGCCCCTCTTCCAGGCCAGCTCTCTGCTGTGGCCCGGGAGGGCAGTGGAGGATGGCCCAACTGCTTGGGCCCTGCACCCACATGGGAGACCAGGAGAAGCACCTGGCTCCTGGCTTCAGATCAGCGCGGTGTGCTGGCCGCAGCAGCCATTGGAGGGTGAACCAACAGAAGGAAGACCTTTTTTTTTGACAGGCAGAGTGAACAGTGTGAGAGAGAGACAGAGAGAGAAAGGTCTTCCTTTGCCGTTGGTTCACCCTCCAATGGCCGCCGCTGCAGCCGGCGCACCGCGCTGATCCGATGGCAGGAGCCAGGAGCCAGGTGCTTTTCCTGGTCTCCCATGGGGTGCAGGGCCCAAGCACCTGGGCCATCCTCCACTGCACTCCCTGGCCATAGCAGAGAGCTGGCCTGGAAGAGGGGCAACCGGGACAGAATCCGGCGCCCCGACCGGGACTAGAACCCGGTGTGCCGGCGCCGCAAGGTGGAGGATTAGCCTATTGAGCCACGGCGCCGGCTTAAAGGAAGACCTTTCTCTCTGTCTCTCCCTCTCTCACTGTCCATTCTGCCTGTCAAAAAAAAAAAAAAAATGTAGTTTAAGTGCAAAATGAAATCTCACTGTGGGTTTTTTATATTTATTTTTATTGACCTTGAAAGTGGGGGAGAGGGATAGAGAATAGAAGGAGAGAGAGAGAGAGAGAGAGAGAGAGAGAGAGAGAGAGAGAGAATCTTCTATACATTGGTTCATTGTGCAAATGGCTACAACAGCCAGTGCTGGACCAGGTCAAAGCCCAGAGCCTTGAACTCCATCCGGTTCTCTCACATGGGTGAGAGGCCATCATCTGCTGCATCCCAGGATACAGTAGCAGGAAGCTAGACAGGAAGTGGAGTGGCTGGGACTCAGACAGGCAATCTGACGTGGGATGTAGGCATCCCAATCCAGGGCTTCTCCCACTGCATCGTAACACCCACTCCTTATTAAGATTTTATTTTGCATTTCCCTGATCATTAATAGTATTCACCCATCTTCTCATGTGATTCTTAAGCTTTTGTGCCTGGAAAGTCTATTCAAGACTTGTTCATTTATTTGTTGAGTTGCTTGTTTTTTTTTCATTTTCTGTTTGTAGTTTTTCACATTTTCTCGATACAAGATTTGTCCATCTTTGGTTGGTTGCCTTTTCATTTATTTAATGGTAGTTTTTGATTGGCAAAATTATGTCAATTGATTTTTCTTTTCTGTTTGGTGCTTTTCTGCTACCTTCTAGGAAAATTGTAACCCAAGTTTGCAAAATTATTCTGGTTTGTCTTTTTCTGGAAACTTTATAGTTTCAGCTTTTATATTTAGATCCAAGTTCCATATTGAATCAATTTTGGTACATAGTCTGACATAGGGACCATGGTTCAATTTTTCCACATATGTATTTGGTTATTCAGCACCATTTGTTGAAAAGATTTTCTTTTCTCATTGAATAGCCTTAGCACATTAGAAAAATCAACTGAGTAGGGCAGACGTTTAGCCCAACAGTCACGATACCAAAGTCCCTAATCATAGTGCTGGGCTTGATTCTCAATTCCAGTGCCTGGTTCCATCTTCTCACTAACGTAGATTCTAAGAGGCAGCCATGATGACTCCCAAATGGGAGACCGGGGTTACTGTCCAGAACAGGACACCAGATAGGGCTCTGTCTGTCTGGTTCTCTCTGTGTGTCTTTCTGTCTCTCAAGTAAATGATTTACTTTTTATTTTTTTTATTTTTGACAGGCAGATTAGAGAGAGACAGAGAGAAAGGTCTTCCTTCCATTGGTTCACCCCCCAAATGGCTGCTACAGCTGGTACGCTGCGCCGATCCGAAGCCAGGAGCCAGGTGCTTCCTCCTGGTCTCCCATGTGGGTGCAGGGCCCAAGTACTTGGGCCATCCTCCACTGCCTTCCCGGGCCACAGCAGAGAGCTGGACTGGAAGAGGAGCAACCAGGACAGAATCCAGCGCCCCAACCAGGACTAGAACTGGGGTACCAGCGCTACAGGTGGAGGATTAGCCAAGTGAGCCGCAGCGCTGGCCTCAAGTAAATAATTTTTGAAAAATCATTTGGTTATATATGACTAGGTCTATTTCTGGTCTTTATTCTGTCCCATTGATCCACATGTCTGTATTTGTCTAGGGCAATACCACACCATCTTGACTACTTTAGCCCTATATTAAATCACAAAACACAATTGTAGGAATCCTGTGACTTCGTACTTCATTTTCAAGGTTGTGTTGCCATTTTAGATCATTTGCATTTCCATTTAAAGTTTAAAACAAATTTGTCAATTTTTACAATAAAATCCATTGAGATTATGGCTAAGATTATATAGTCTATTAATTAGTTTGGAGAGAATTTCTTAACTATATTGATTTATGCAATTTTAAAAGAATCTTTTCACTTACTCATATCTTTAATATCTCTTAGCCATATTTGGTGGGATGCTGTATGCAAGCGGCAGCTTAACATGATATGCTACAACACCAGCCCCAATTTTTGTATATTGACCTTGTATCCTGCAACCTTTTTAAATATAGCTATTAGTTCCAATAACTTGGTAAATTCCTTCAGATTGTTTATACATGTCATCACATTATCTATGAATAGTTTCATTTCTTTCTTCCCAGTCTGTATGTATTTTATTTCTTTTTTGGATGTTATTGTACTGCCTGGGACATACTGTTGACTAGCATTGGTGAGACTGAACGCCTTGTCTGTTCCTGGCTCATGGAGAAGGAATTCAGGTTATCAATGTTGTGATAGGAGCTAAAGACGTCCTACATCAGACTGAGGGAATTCCTTCTATTTTTAGTTCACTAAGGATGTTTACCTTGAACTGAAGTTGGATCTTTAGAGCACTTCTGCATCTATTGAGATGTACATACACTGTTTTTCCTTTATGTTGTTAATATAGTAGACTATATTGTCTTTCAAAAGTAAAATTAACCTCATATTTCTGTGACAGAACCTACTTGATGTCTTAACTTTTTTTAATATATGAATAAACTTTAAAATGTGGAAAAGTAGAGTTGGAAAATGAGTTTGTTTTGGTGGAGATGATTTTGAAAGCCTTAAATCATTTTTTGTAATGTACATTTCAATGGAATTTTTGACATGAACTCTAGAGTTAGGTTACTAATATTTTGTTCAGATTGTTTGCATCTTCCTGGGGACTCTTGGTTGGTCATTTTCCTTTCTTACAAAGCTTTAGTCTAGGGGCCAGCACTGTGGTGCAGCGGGTTAACGCCCTGGCCTGAAGCACCAGCATCTCATATGGGCACCGGTTCTGGTCCCGGCTGCTCCACTTCCAATCCAGCTCTCTGCTATGGCCTGGGAAAGCAGTGGAAGGTGGCCCAAGTCCTTGGGCCCCTGCACCCACATGGGAGACCCAGAAGAAGCTCCTGGCTCCTGGCTTCGGATCGACACAGCTCCAGCCGTTGCAGCCAATTGGGGAGTGAACCAGCAGATGGAAGACCTCTCTCTCTCTCTTTCTCTCTGCTTCTCCTTCTCTCTCTGTGTAACTCTGCCTTTCAAATAAATAAATGAATCTTTTTTAAAAAAAAGCAGTATATGATTGGGTCTTGCTTTTTAATGCAGTCTATAAATACCTTTGCCAGAGTGTTTAACCCATTTCCAAAAGTGTAATGACTGATAAGGTTGAGTTTAGGTCTACGATTTTGCTATTTGTTTTCTATTTGTCCCTTTCGGGTTTTGTTTCCATGTTCTTCCTTTTCTGTCTTCCTTTGTGTTAATCAGCTTTTAGTATTTCATGTTCCTTTTAGCTATGTCTGTTCATTGTTTTGGTTGCTGGGTTATAAGATACATCCTTACCTGGTTAGAGTATATATTACACCACTTCATGTAAAATGCAAGCTCCTTGAAACTGTCTAGTGCATTGTATACTTGTCTTTGTATACTTGTAATTTGCTTCTGTGTATGCTATAAATCTATATATGTTGTAAACATATATGATTTTCTCTTTTTTTAAGATTTATTTTATTTATTTGAAAGAGTTACAGAGAGAGGTAGAGACAGAGAGAGAGGTCTTCCATCCGCTGGTTCACTCTCCAGATGGCTGCAATGGCCAGAGCTGCTCTGATCCGAAGCCAGGAGCCAGGAGCTTCTTCTGGGTCTCCCACATGGGTGCAGGGGCCCAAGGACTTGGGCCATCTTCTACTGCTTTCCCAGGCCATTGCAGAGAGCTGGGTCGGAAGAGGAGCAGCTGGGTCTTGAACCAGCACCCATATGGGATGCTCGCTCTTCAGGCCAGGACCTTAACCCACTGTGCCACAGCGCCGGCCCCAGATGATTTTCTTTACATAGCCATATATCTTAAGCAAATCAAGAGGTGGAAAAAAGACCCTTTCATTTATGGTAATCATATATTACCATTTTTAGGGCTCTTCATGGCTTCCTGAGACCCAAGTTTCCTTTGATAATATTTTCCTCCAGTTGAGAAATTTCCTTTAGCATTTGAAATACTTGTAACAGTTTGAATCTGTGAGATTTATACGTAGACGGGGGGCTCCTTCCTCTGTGTTTCTCTCATTTCTGAGATAACACCGATAATTTCCAGCCGCACCAGCAGCTCCAAACTGTGTCTTCTGGTACCGCAAGCCCACTAGTTAGGCTGATGGGCTGCAAGTGCCGCCGTGCAGAGCGGGCCCGGCCTCAGTGGAAAAGCTGTACAACCCCTGGCTCTCATGTAGTCCGCTTCCATCTCTCAGTGGTCTAGTCCCTCTCACTGTCTGCCCACCAAACCTTGCTCTGCGCTGCCTTCAGAGAGCTGCCTTCTGTATCTCGTGGAGAACTTAGGGATGTTATCTGAGGGAGCGCTGGTCTACTAGAAGTCGCTCAGCCGTCAGAGGAGCCAGAGCTCATGTTCCATGCCCCACTCGATGGTCGCAAACTTTTCCTACACAAGATCAGAAACATTTAACATTTGTGGCCTAAAGGCAGCATTGAAGATATTGTGTAGATATTTATTTATAAGGGGGAAGAAAACAAGTTTCCATGAAGTTTTGATGGATTATGTACTTTCTGGTCTTAGTGATTTAGGTCAAGATCTTTATATATTAAGAGATGAGCTCTTCGTGGTATGAGTTTCTGAATTTTCCCCATTTTAACATTTA